GACCTTTACAACTAGAATCATCTTTTCCAAAGTAACAACAGGGTCTAACACAGTACCAACCCAAAGGGAGACCTCAGAGGTTGTTAGCCACCAGTCTGCCGTCCACCCATCCTTCCGTCCATCCTTCCAACCATCCATTCACCCATCTTTCCATCCTTCCACCTGTCCATTCTTTTGTCCATTAGTCTATCCATCCATCTGTCTATCCATCTACCTGTCCACCTGTCCTATCTAGCCATCCTTCCTTCCATTCACACATCCATCCAACCATCCATGACTCTATTCATCCATCCATCCTTGCATAAATCCATCCTTCCTTCTATTCATCTGTAACCATCCAGCTAATCATCCTTCCTTCCTTCTTTCCATCCATCCTTCCTTCCATCCATCCATCTATCCACGTGTTCATCCAGCTAGCTATCTTTCTACCCATCCATCCGTCCATCCATCTGACCATCCATCCATCAGTTTATTCACTCAACAAGTATTTACAGAGCCTTGACTTTGTGCCAGATGCAGAGCTAGGCATGGGATGGAGTGAAAAAGAGGACTGTCTTGGTCCTTATCCCACTGAAACTCACTGTCCAGTAGAGGAAGTGGAAAAACATAACTCAAACAAATATGAAGATAATATCATTATGAACTGTGATGGGGAGGATGAAGCAGCAGCCAAGAGGTTGAGGTGGAGCTCAAAGGGGGACTGAGGTTTTGGAGGAGGCACAGAGATTGTGTCTAAGCTGAGGCCTAAAGATGAGAAGAAGCCAGCTGAGCAGGGCATGTGAGAGCGGGCAAGTCACCAGGAGAGATGTGTGCACAACCCCAGCGGGAGGAAGGCGCATGCATGCACGTCATGGAACAGCCTGGAGGCCATGGGCTCGAGGATGTGAATACAGGGTAAGGGTGGACCAGGAGCGTGTGGAGAGGCGGCAGGGACCAAGGCACAGTCTGGATTTTCCAGAAAGTGTAGTAAAAGTCACTGATGGGATTTAAGCTCCAGTATGACATGGCCCCTTACTCACAACTGTGTGGAGGAGTGGGGGAGGGCAAGAACAGGTCCAGGGGGCTCTTTGGGGGTGAGTGCTGTTGGACAGGCCCAGCAGGAGAGCAGAGGCTGCCTCTGAGATGCTCTGGTGGTGGACAGATGGCTGGGGTGGGAGAGGCAGGCATGCACAGCCACTCTCAAGTCGTGAGACACTGGGATCAAGAAGAAGCCCTTGGCAGAATGGAGAGGGTGTGAGTCGGGCTCAGCATCCGAGTGCGGTGCTTGGAGTGTCTGCGGGCAGTCATGCGCATTGACAGCTGGGTACCTGAGGCTGCAGTTGAGAGAAGAGGGCTGGGTGGGAGGTAGAGATTTCGAAGGGAACCATGGAGAGGAGTGAACAGTCTTGGCGTCCGTGCTGGGTAGAGGGGAGGGGACGGCTCCCTGCCCTGGAGCACCCACTGGCCACCAGCTTGGAGGTCACAAGACTCCTCGGCCAGCAACTCCGTGAAGCAGAGGTGGGGTCTGCGCCCCAGGGGAGGATGAGCAGGTGTGAGAGGCGCCAGAGAGCTGTGAGGAGGCGCAGGAAAGGGGCCGTGGCTGGAGGGGAATATAGGGTCAAGGAACAGGTGGGGAGTTTGCGCAGAGAAAGCCTGGTGATAAGGACTTGGATGCAGAGGTCCAGTCTGGGGGGAGCGACCACAGCACATGGGAGCGGGAGCGGGTTTCCAGGGCCCAGGCGGGGGGTTGAGGTTTGGACGTGGGAGGGCGACGCACCTCCCTCTGGTGGACTTGCTTCATTGACGTGAAGGTGGGAGAGGAGAGCCCGCCCTGAGCTCCACACCCAGGTCCTCCTGGGGCCTGCCAGCAGGGAGAGAAAAGGGGAGGTGGCAGTGTGAGACGCGGCGTTGCCCTGCATGCTGAGCTGCTGACGCAGGGCTGCTGGGGGTTGGGGGGGATGGCAAGAGGCAGGCGAGCAAGCAGAATGACAGCGGTGGGCCATGCCCAGGCCGGGGTGAGGCCAGGAGGGACTGGCGAGGGGGAGGGTCCCCGGCCTGGGAGTCTCGTGAGGCTGAAGGACTCTGCGGGGGTGCGGCAAGGACACCGGCGAGAGGCAGAGAGGCGGGGAGCACTTCTGGGCTGCGGGGAGGAGGGCGGACAATGGAGAGGAGGCCCGCGAAGGCCGGGGCACTGGTGAGTCACCCGTGTGGATGCCGTGTCACGGGGAATGGCCGAGGTGGGGTGGGGGAGCTGCAGGGCCAGGAGCAGAGAATGCGGGGAAGTGACCGGGACAGCAGCTGATGACAGCTTTAGTAGGGGTGGCTGGCGCCCCTGGAGAAGGGGAGGTGGCCCCAGGGCATTCTCCAATGCCCTGCATGCAGAGAGCAGTGACGCCCCAGGGCCGTGGTGTCCTCAGAAAACCAGTTAAGGCAGGAAGGATGGAGGACAGCGTGTTCCTCCGTGAAGCCTGCCGACTGCACATGGCTCTGTGGAAGTGAAGACAAAGGGGCTTCCAGACAAGCAGGGTCCTGCACCGCTGGGTGAAGGCGCTGGATGGCCCTCCTCTTCACTGCGGGGATGTGGATGCTTCCCTGGTGGTGCCGTGGCCTCTGGGGAGGAAGTTCCTATAGGCCCCACACATGCACCCACCCACCCACCAGGCACCAATCTCCCCGTCCTTCATCCACTACCCATCCTCCCACCATAAATCTATCCCACTGCCCACCCACCCCCGACTCTCCCACCCATCCACAGTCAGCCCTTGAATCCATTCTTGAATCCATCCCTCAAGCTGCACTGAGCTCAGGATGAACAAAATACAAGTTGTGTTCAGCTGTCACCAGAAAGCACAGCTGTGTCCAGTGGATGTCCTAACAGTGGGAGCCCAGAAGGCCAGGCCGATCAGGGGAGGGACGCGTGAACTAGACCCTATGGAGGGGCTCTGAGGGACGGAAAGAGTACAAATGTCCTGGCGAAAACACAAGCAGGGGCCAGGGCCTGACAACAGGAAAAGCCCGACACCTGGGGCCAAGGTCGAGCGGCTCTGCCTTTGGGAGGTGTGTCGAGAGCGAAGGGGTAGGCAGCAGGGACGGCCTGGCCGAGGCGAGGAAGCCGGGCTCACATCTGCCATTGCCAGAGCCAGAGGGTCCAGGTGTGTGCCCTGGATGTATACCCCAGTGAAGGGGACCCCAGGCGTCCCTGTGGGCCATGCACAGGCCCCGTGCAGGTGGTGCCCAGATGCCGCCTCAGGCCTCGCCCCAGCTGATCTTCCTGGAGTGCCAGTTGGTTCACCCCCTACAGGTCCAACCAAGCCTGTCATTCTCCGTCTTCAGTAGCTCACAGACCACTCATCTGCCTCGTATGGCTTTATTTACTGTCCGCTGCCTAGAAAATCTTGTTTCTCCTTTGAGGACCGGCTTGGAGGTGCCTCCCCAGATTCCTTCCCAGCCATTCACCACCCAAGGGGAGCCTGCCCTCTGTGGGGCTTGCTCTCCCCAGCAGCAGAGCGGGCATTGTGGGGGCCAGTGTGCATGAAGGACCAGGGCCACCCTGGGGAAGTGGGCCTGGTGGCAGAGCCCATATGGAGAAGGTCCCTGGGGACAGAACCCCACGCCACCTTCCCACCTTTGGGGGCTGGGGCAGCTGGGCATTGGGTTCAGACTAAGGAAGGACTTTGCAGGGTCACAGCTGCTGGCTACAGCGGAGGCAGGGAGACTGCCTTCTGGCAGCAGTGGTGCAGTGCAGCAAGAGGGTGCCTCAGTTTCCCTTTCTGTACAGTGGGGTTAGACGCCTGGTGCCAATGAGGGCCTTCCATCTCTGACCTGTGGTGGTGCGGCACCTAAAAGGTTTGGCCAGAGGAGGCATGAAGGGAGAGGCTGGCCAAGCTTTGGCTGGTAACTATCTTGTCTATGTGACACCAAAATCAGAGGGTGTCACCCCAGTGCTGCTTCCCAAGGCAGCTTGGGGTAGGGGTGGTGTAGAACCATCTATGGTGGGGGTCCCTTGCACTCCACGTCCCACAACTAGCTTTCAGGGTGGGACCATGAGCCTCAGGGAGCCGGGCTGTGGGCCTGGAGGGGGCTAGCGGCTGGAGCAGGATAGTGGGCTGTGCCCCCCAGGAGGACAGGGACTCCGGGGCAGGGACAGGACGCAGCCCTGGGCCTCCAGCCATGCAGTCTTCTCTTCCTGTTGTCTCAGGATGGTCCTGGCAGGATGCATCTGCCAGAGTCCAGGTCCAGACCTCCCTGGGGCCTGCTCCCCCCGCACTGGGGTCCCCCCGTCACACAAGTCCATGTGCATGCACGCACTGACATGTCAAAGCCACACATACCACTCACACACACAGATCCACACCCACAGACACACACACACACACACTGTCCTGCTGGGCACCCCCCAACTGGGCATACGCACCCCTGTGTGGCAGCTGGGAGGGGATCCTGAAGGGTGCAGGAGGGCTTTCAACCAGATGAGGAAGAGTTATGTGTGTGACAGGGAGGGGCCCCGAAGGGAGGATGGGGGTGAGGGAGGCGGGGCTGAGGCAGCCAGAGGGGGCTGCGATGTGGACAGAAGCTGATGGAGCCACGGACATGGGTGGTGGACGCAAAGGGGTCTGGGAGAGGCGAGGTCACAGGCAGAATGTCAGGGGAAGCCGAGGTGCTCCGTTCTGGAGTTGGGAGAGGGTCTACACTGTCAGGAACCCCTCCCCGGCAGTGGCCGTGCCTGGGGTTCAGGAGGGTGGGGCCGCCGGGCTGATGCGTGGGCTGCACGCCGAGATGATGCACTCCAGGCGGACTTTGTTCTGGCAGCTCAGCACAGCTGGGGCCTGGAGTCGGGGTCCTGCAGGCCCCGGTCAGGGCCCTCTGGGGCTGGCCGTCTGGGGCCGCGGGCAGGGGCTGCCTGAGGTGGTCACTGGCTGCCGTGGGGCCCAGTAGTTGCTGCTCTGGGCCAAGAGCACCTGCTGGATCCTGTCATGTGAACTCACCACCCAGCACCACACTGACCCTGTTTCCCACCCCAGGCCTGGCAACTGGCTACTCCATGACCCCCCCGACCCTGAACATCACAGAGGAGACACACGTTATTGACTCCAGTGACAGCCTGTCCATCTCCTGCAGGTACTCAGCTCCCTGCCAGGGCAGCAGGGTCCTGGGTCCCTCCGACCTGGCAGGAGAGGAGTCTGGAGAAGGTGGAGGACCCAGAAAGCAGCCCCTCCACAGGGCAAAGGGGCCCTGAGGCTTGGTGGGGCTCCCAGTGGCCTAGGTGCGGATGCCTGGAGGCACAGACCCCTGCCCTGCAGACACAGGCATCCTGCACCCACAACCTTATCACTTCACATGAATCATGAATCAGTCCCTTCGTACCCACCACTGGGTCACCCCACACTGACCCCAGGTCACCCTGCATGGACCCCAAATGGCCTGCACCCACCCCAGCCACCCTTCACAGGCCCCAGGCCCACTCATACATTCCAGGACTGTTTTCCTCCCTGCAGACCCACCTATAAACTGAGGCCCAGGCGTTTCTGCAGGCCAGGCAGAGGCCCCTGGGGGCTCAGGAGCACCCCACCCTGGGGTGTCAGAACACTGGGCTGTCCTGACCTCTGAGTGTGACAAGCTGTGGACAAAGCTCCTCTGGGGAGGCTCTGCAGGGACTGTGTCCCCCCACCCCAGCTGCGGGCTACAGCCCTGCCCCTCTTGACCTCTCGCATCCTCTGCCAGGGGGCAGCACCCCCTCGAGTGGGCCTGGCCCGGGGCCCAGGAGGCACCAGCCCCCGGAGAGAAGGACGGCGAGGACACAGGGGTGGTGCGGGACTGCGAGGGCACAGACGCCAGGCCCTACTGCAAAGCACTCCTGCTGCCCGAGGCCCATGCCAACAACACGGGCAGCTACCACTGTTACTACAAGTACATCAAGGCGCGCATCGAGGGCACCACGGCGGCCAGCACCTACGTGTTTGTGAGAGGTGAGAGGGCCCCCCACCCACCCCCACTGCCGCCAGGCCTGGGTGGCACCCACACCCACACACCTGGGGACCCCATGGGCTGCCCTGCTGCCCCCAACCCAGGCGGAGGCACCCTGAGCCCCACCTTCCCCTCCCTCAGTCTGCTCCCTCTCCTCAGACCCAGAGCAGCCATTCATCAACAAGGCGGACACGCTCCTGGTCAATAGGAAGGACGCCATGTGGGTGCCCTGCCTGGTGTCCATTCCCGGCCTCAACGTCACGCTGCGCTCGGTACAGCCCCCACCCCCACCCCCACCTGCAACCCCACCCCGGATCCGGCCCTTCATCCTTCCCTGGGACAGATGGCTGCTGGTCTGGCCAGGAGGAGGGGCAACTGGGCCCTGACTGCTGCCACGTCCCCGCAGCAAAGCTCGGTGCTGCAGCCTGATGGACAGGAGGTGGTGTGGGACGACCGTCGGGGCATGCGGGTGCCCACGCCACTGCTGCGCGACGCCCTGTACCTGCAGTGCGAGACCACCTGGGGTGGCCAGGCCTTCCTATCCAGCCCCTTCCTCGTGCACATCACAGGTAGGGGCCGCCTGAGGCTGCAGGGCCCTCACCCCATCACCACCCCCACGTCCTGCGAGAACTGCAGGAGGATGGGGAGCCCCCAGGCCTAAGAAGGGGGTTGTAGGGTCCTGGGTCACCCGGCTGCCCTCAGTGGGCACCCTGTGCCCCACACTGTGCATGCTGTCCTGTGAGGGCGTGGGGGTCACTGTGCGTGTGTCGCCAGGCAATGAGCTCTATGACATCCAGCTGTTCCCCAAGAAGTCCCTGGAGCTGCTTGTCGGGGAGAAGCTGGTCCTGAACTGCACAGTGTGGGCCGAGTTCAACTCAGGCGTCACCTTTGACTGGGACTATCCGGGGAAGCAGGTGAGGTCAGCAGTGCTGTGCGGGGCCATCTCCATAAGCCCCCGTCGCTGCCCACATCATCCCCAGGAGCCCTGGCTGGTGGGGGGTTTGCCTACCTAAAGCACTGGGTCTGGGTCCAGGGCTTCCAGAGCCATGTGGGCCGGGCCAGGTGAGTGCCCTCGGCAGTCAGCTCTTCCAGAGCCCACCTGCTCTAACCCCGGGCTTCCCTGGGCATGGGCAGGCAGAGCGGGGCAGGTGGGTGCCGGAGCGGCGCTCCCAGCAGACTCACACCGAGCTCTCCAGCATCCTGACCATCCACAACGTCAGCCAGTATGACCTAGGCCCCTATGTGTGCGAGGCCAACAATGGCATCCAGCGATTCCGGGAGAGCACCGAGGTCATTGTGCACGGTACGGCCAGGGGTCAGGTTGGCATGCCCAGCGTGGCCTATGCTGAGTCAGGTGTCCGTCTTCAAGCCTGGGGAATGAGGGTCTTCATGCACTGTGGGCCCAGGGTCAGAGGTCGTGGGGCACCTGGGCAGCATGGAGTCTGCCAGAGGGAAGGGAGGGCAGCAAGTGGACCCCAGAGGGCAGGGCAAGCCCCCATCTGCAGGCGTCTGGCCACTGGGAGTGTGGGGCCATGCTAGGAGTCCCTGGGCAGGAGTGGGCCAGCGACTCCAGGCCCCTGCTTTACGCTGATGCCTTCCGTCTGGCAGAAAAGCCCTTCATCAGCGTCGAGTGGCTCAAGGGTCCCGTCCTAGAGGCCACGGCAGGAGACGAGCTGGTGAAGCTGCCTGTGAAGCTGGCAGCGTATCCTCCGCCGGAGTTCCAATGGTACCAGCCCTGGCTCCTGCCCCTCTCTACCCACCAGGCCAGGCACAAGAACAGACCGGGGGGCAGGAAGGGCAGCTTCCTCCCCATCAGGGCCTGCACCCTGAAACCCTGTGGGGACCCCTCTGAAGACACTCTACGGAAAATGCACAGAATGTGTTATTTCAGCCAGAGGGAAGGTTGGCCTGGGTTGCTATTGAACTGTGAAAACTTTGAAATACCAGCCTCCTATGACATGTGGGTGTGGTGGGCACAGTGTAGGGCTTCATTTAACAGCTTGCTGCATGCACTCAGTATCTCTGAGGGCTCTGCCAGATGGAGAGGGTCATGGAGCTCTGGGTTTCCTAGGCCTTCCTCCCAGCAGGCTGCTAACCCCAGTGCCCCCTATCCAGAAATTCAGTGATGCTCAAACTGTTCCAGAGGCAGGCCCTGGCTGTAGCAGTGAGACCCTCCAGGAGGCCCACAGATTCCAAAGCCCTGGCTCTGGTCTGTGACCTAAGAGGAAGGCCTCCTCTGTGAGGTGCCAAGGGTCAGTGAGGGGGCCCTTCTCTGGTGGCTCTGCCCGCACTGGATGTTCCCCGAGAGCTCGGGAAGGCACAGCAGCGTTGGACTATCTGAGCAGTCCATGTGGCCCACCCTCGTCCCCTGGGAAGTCACACTGTAGCCTGACCCCCACTGTGCAGATGAAGAAACAAGAGGCCAGAAAAGTGGGAAGTTGTTCCTACCTGAACCTCCTGGGAGGGCCCTGCTCCTTCCATTCCCAGCTGTTCAGAGGAGCCTTGCCCTTCCCAGCTGGGAGCACCTCCTTCCAGGCAGGATGACCTTTTCTGAAAGCCTGGAGCTGGGCAAGCAGAGCCCCTGACATTCTCAGCTAGGATCCCACCACCCTGGCCATAGGCTGGAAGCAGGCTTCTCCCAAGAGGGCCTCAAGATGCCCTGGTCTGGGCCTGGTGTGACCCTACCTGTGAGGCCATAGGCTTTGGGGCCCACTGGGACACCTGGTGCAGGACCAGGGCCCTTGGCACAGGGTCTTGAAGGGCACTAATGTGGCCTAGAGCCTCCCTTTTGGGTGCAGCTTCCTGGAGATACTGTGGCCCTGTCCCCTGCCCTCCAAGGCCAGCAGGACTAGCCCAGCTCTGGGAGGGTGGCCAGCACTGCTGCATCTGGCCCAGACTTGATCCTCCACAGAGACTCCTGCCCCGGGGCCACCTCAGCCCCACAGGGGCCCACTGTTCTGGGTCAGCGTGCAGTGATTATGAGTGAGTAAATGGATGTAAATCTAGTAGACAGACAGGCTGGTCCTCAGCTCCCAAAGTGCCCTTTGTGTGCCCAGCATGGTGCTGTCACTGAATGCCACATCTCAGTTAGACCTCATGATCCCTGCAAGAAGGTGCATTGCATTTCCCTGGTTCTTAGATGAGGTCATGGGGACTTCGGGGTGTTGAAGGAGTTTGCCTAGGGTCACAGATGCAGTCATAGGTGGCCTCAGGATTCTGCATCAGAGCCAGGCAAGCCACATGGCCGCCACTGGGCCCTGGCCTGCCATGTGATCCCGGGTGAGTCAAGTCCCCGTGTCGTCAGGCTGTGGTGTCCCATCTGAGATCCAGGCCCTGCATCACCCTCACTTTGGTCTCTACTAGGCTGTGCATGTGGCTGAGCACACCCGGGGAAGGCACCTGCCTCAGGGAGGACCGTTTCCAGGTGGAGTCCAGAACTTTGGCTATGGGGGCAGCTACCTGCAGCACTCCCAGCTCAGGACAGGAGAGGAGCCACCGCCTGGGGTGGGAGACATCCGTTTATTCCCACATGCATTGAGCACCTACACCCTATACATGCTAAGCTCCACTTTACATGTAGGAGAATAGCAGTGAGGGGACAGTCCCTGCACAGCTTGGGGAAGACTGATGGTCAGCAGACACTTGTATGAAAATGAGTGTGCAAATGAGCAGGCAGGCAGAAATGGAGCAGCAGGTGGTGCCAGTTCATAGGACAGTCAAAGAAGGCTTCTCTGACTAGTGGGTATTTGAATACAGCAGGGAGGAAACCATTCAGGCATCTAGAGGACTGAGCAGCCAAGGAAGGGGGACAGGCAGTGCAGAGGCCCCAGATGGGGATCTGGAGACAACAAGGAGCGCCCACACCTGGAGAGCTGATGGAAGGTCAGCGCCTGCTCCCCAGGAGAGGGATCTGCACCCACCAACGAAACCTATGGAAGGAGGCAGGGCCCACAGGGCCCTCCAGCTGTACCTGAACCTGTGGGTGCATGACATGGCAGGTCAGGCCCAGAGTGCACCCCCATGGCCTTTAGTTGGGCAGCTTAGAACTGGTAGCCCCAGCCTGCACCCCTGCCTCCCAACAGTATATTTCAGTTGTGGCATTGGGGTGTGTCAGGTGGCGCCAGGGATGGAGCCAGTGCGGCCCCCTGAACTCCCTTCCTGGGCCAGGTACAAGGACAGAAAGGCAGTCCCCGGGCGCCACAGTCCACACGCCCTGGTGCTGAAGGAGGTGACTGAGGCCAGTGCTGGCATCTACACCCTCACCCTTTGGAACTCTGCGGCCGGCCTGCGGCACAACATCAGCCTGGAGCTGGTGGTGAATGGTATGGGCAGAAAGGACAGAAGAGGGGACACGGCAGGAGGGTGGGGAGGTGGGGGCTGGCTGACCGGCTGCCTGCCTGTGCCCCCAGTGCCCCCCCACATCCACGAGAAGGAGGCCTCCTCCCCCAGCATCTACTCCCGCCACAGCCGCCAGGCCCTCACCTGCACTGCGCACGGCGTGCCCCCTCCTCTCAGTGTCCAGTGGCACTGGCGGCCCTGGACACCCTGCAAGACCTTCACCCAGCGCAGCCTGTGAGTTAGGCTCCACCCCATCCTCCCCTACTTCCCAGCTCTGTCCCCACCTCAGCTGTGAATCCCACTTGCTGCCTCAGCCCACCACAGCCCTGCTCTAAACTCGAACCTATCTTCACCTCGCCCGAGCAAGGTTCAAACCCTCCCTGGTATGAGTCAGGCCAGGCTGGACAATGGGGATGGTCCAGCCTCCACCCATCTCTCTTAAAACAAAGTGCCCAAACACATAATTGCATCCTCCAGAGATGTCCAAGGGACGTGCCTCTGGGAGGAGGACACCTCCCACCAAGCAGGTGGACCTGGGCTAGTTTTACGGGACTTGCATTGAGTCCCAGGCTTGCCAAGTATGTCCATGTCACATTTGCCATTTAGCAAGAGATCCTTGAGGTGGAAGGGAACAGGCTGAGGAGGGACAGAGCCAGGAATCCAGGGAGGAGACAGGGCAGCCACACCAGCAGACGGGCCATGGCCAGTCTTCAGTGGGGGGGCTTAAGTGTGGCCCACAATGTCCACAGCTCATGAGAGATTCTTCTGGACCACAAGGCTGCAGGTCACTGCGGGTATCCCCAAATGTTCTTCCCTCTGATGCTCTACCTTTCTACTGCATCAACTAGCTGAACCCTGGGGTTCCGCTCTGCTTCCCTACAGGCAAGCAAGAGCCTCTTTTGGGGTACCAGACCCACGTCCCAGCAGAGGACCAAAGATGCTGGGATGCCCACCCAGCCCAGGGAGGGGCTTCAGTGCCAGATGGGGGAGGGAGGAACAGGAGTGGTGCTTTGCCCCTGGGAGATCTGGGTGGATTCTGTAGGGGGACCACATGCAAGTGGGGGAGGGTGAAGAGTGGGCTGGAGGGTGAGCCACAGGTGTGTGTTGCTCTGTGGGCACCAGGCCCTGGCCTGCAGGAGAAGGTGGTGTCTGGCAACCCTTGAAGGGTCGCTTGCAGAGGCCCTGGGCACAAAGGGTGGGCGAGTGTTCCAGAAACAAAGCCCTGGTTCCCCTCTCCATCACCTGAGAGCCAGCCTCACCCACCATGATGTGAAGGGTAACCCTGCGTATCCCAAGGCTCAACTCCAACCCGCAGTGGGCCCTCCCTGCCCAGATCTCTGACCTAACCCTTACCTCCTCATGCCTGGCAGCCGGCGGCAGCCACGAGACCGCATGCCACAGTGCCGGGACTGGAGGGAGGTGACCACGCAGGGTGCTGTGAACCCTATTGAAAGCCTGGACACTTGGACAGAGTTTGTGGAGGGAAAGAATAAGGTAAGAGTGGCAGAGGGAGGAGAAGGAGGTGGGGAGGGGCCCTCTCCTAGCCTTGGTGTCTACCAGGCCTGCAGAACTGTGAAAGTCGGTGACCTTTCTGCAGTTTCTCAGGGTCTCCCCTGCCTGAATGTGGATGAGGGGGCCAGACCTCCTGCCGCTTCCCAGAGAAGCTGAGATTCAAGGCCAAGTGGCCAGGCTCTGGGCCCCAAGCTCCTGGAAGGGTCAAGGGGAGGGACCAGCAGCCACAGGCTCAGCAGCTGGCCCGGTGTGGGGGCAATGCCTAGAAGAAGCCAGGCCAGGGGGAGGGGACTGAACAAAGGCACCCACTTCCTACAGTCACTTCCTGTTTTCCAACACGCCTCCAGAGCCTCTTCCTGTTTGAGGCCTGGCCAGGAAGTGCCCCACTTGGGGTGGAAGGATCTTTGGATGGTAGGCAGAGCCTGTGGCCCTCTCTCCTCCTCTGCTTCCAAGCTTCCTATTCCCCGAGGCCAGAGTCCTTCTGCAGGCCTGGAACCTAGCACCTCCAGTCCCCACTACCCAGAGTCCCAAGGGAAGTACCATGGGCAGCCCCGGGGTGGAGGTGGTACATCCCAGGGGCTTACCGGTGAACAGCAGCCAGCCTTGCACCACAGCCTGAATCCTAACCCCGGCTTGGATCCCCCCCAGGGCCAGACTGGCCCTGTCCGCTCCTCAGCACAGCCGTGTATTGGGCCCATCCACACCCAGGTCTCTCTGGCCCTGCCCTACTCCACCCTCTGACCTCAGCTACAGCCAATACTAGCTGGCCATAGCGTTGATCCTTAACTTTCCTGGGGATCCACCTCCGTCTGCTGCTGGAGGGCCTCAGCTTCTCTCTGCCTCACCCGGCCCTGCATTTTGGTCACCCCCAGCCCGAGCCTCAATTTCCCCCAGTACTCTTGTGGGCACACCAGCCTTCCTGCAGAAAGGTGAGAAGAGCTCAGGTGGGAAATGGGTCCTTATGCCTGTGCTCTGCCCAGACGGTGAGCAAGCTGGTGATCCAGGATGCCAATGTCTCCGCCATGTACAAGTGCGTGGTCTTCAACAAAGTGGGCCAAGATGAGCGGCTCATCTACTTTTATGTGACCAGTGAGTGACTTAGGCAGGCCTGGGTGGAGGTCGGGAACCAGGTGGGCACTGGAGAGCAGGCCTGGGAGAAAGGCTGATGAGCCCGGGTTGGGGCCCACTGAATTTCTATGACCGTGGGGCACACAGGAGAGGGACCTAGGGCGAGAGGGATGGATTTAGAGGTCAGCAGCGTATGGACAGGGAGCTGGTCCACTTCACCCCCAGCCCTGCAGGCGCTTCCCCAAGGGTGGCCTCCTGCTCCACACAGACCCCCGGCCCCACCTCCCCCCCACCCCTTTGCCAAGCCCAGGCTGGCTCACCTGTGCGCTTTACCCTGTGGGAGGGTCCCTGGTTTGTTCCCTCTAGTTTTCAAACATGATAGTGACTTCAGGAAGGCCATGAAAGGACAGTCACTGGGAGTAGGTGAGGGCATCACCCAGGGAATTGGAGCCAGACCGAACGCTGCAGGAGGGGGAGGAGGAGAACCCACAGGAGCCTGACCAGCAGTGGCCAGAGGGACAAAAGGAAATTGGGAGTGGAGCATTGCTGGAAGCTAAGGGAACAGTGAGGTTCTTCCAAGGAGAGGACGGTGGTCAGCTGTGGTCAGCAGGGAGGGACCGGACTCCGCCAAGTGCACTGCAAGGAGCTCACCCGTGGTCTGGGAGGGTGGGGGCGGCAGCCGGCCGGGGCTTGTCCAGGATGGAGTTGGATGGAGGTGAGGCGATAGGGGGCAGTGGCGCTGATATCAGCGAGCTGGTCTGGTTGTGATGGTGAGAAGGGGTTGGTGCCGCTGGTGCACACCTTTGGTTCAGTGCTGAGTGAGTCCAGAGCTGACGGAAAAGGGCAGCACCCACACTGGGTGCAGTGTCACAGCGGCACGTCCTCCCTCCCCAGCCATTCCCGATGGCTTCAGCATAGAATCGGAGCCATCGGAGGAACACCTGGAGGGCCAAGCCGTGCGCCTGAGCTGCCGGGCGGACAACTACACCTACGAGCATCCGCGCTGGTACCGCCTCAATCTGTCCACGCTACACGACGCGCACGGGAACCCGCTGCTGCTCGACTGCAAGAACGTGCACCTATTCGCCACGCCGCTGGCCGCCAGCCTGGAGGAGGCAGCCCCCGGGGAGCGCCACACCACACTCAGCCTCACCATCCCCCACGTGGCGCCCGAGCACGAAGGCGACTATGTGTGCGAAGTGCAGGACCGACGCAGCCGCGACAAGCACTGCCACAAGAAGTACCTGTCTGTGCAGGGTGAGGTGGGCAGGGCCGGCGCGGGGGGCGGGGGGCCCTCACCCCGGCCCGCACACACTTGGGCCGGCCGTCCCGGACCCTGGGCCTGCAGGCGCAGCCCCCAGCTCCGCCGCAGAGGGGCGCAGCCCTCCCCACCCCGCCTCAAGCCTTGACCTCTCCTTGCGCCTCGCTTCGTGCCACCCTCCCAGCCCTTCCCGATCAAGCTCCCTCCTTCGCTCTGCAACTGCGCTCAGTTTCCTCTCGACCCCTCCCGTAGCCCTGGAAGCCCCGCGGCTCACGCAGAACTTGACCGACCTTCTGGTGAACGTGAGCGACTCCCTGGAGATGCGGTGCCCTGTGGCGGGGGCGCACATGCCCAGCATCGTGTGGTACAAAGACGAGAGGCTGCTGGAGGAAGAGTCCGGTAGGGGGTGCACCCCAGGCGCACCCCGTACGGAGGCTCGCAGGATCAAGGCCCAGACCCCCCTGAACCGGAACCTCCACCCCGCCCCCTGCAGGAATTGACTTGGCGGACTCGAACCAGAAGCTGAGCATCCAGCGCGTGCGCGAGGAGGACGCGGGCCGCTATCTGTGCAGCGTATGCAACGCCAAGGGCTGCGTCAATTCCTCCGCCAGCGTGGCCGTGGAAGGTCGGGTCTCCCCTTCGCGCCCCTCCACCCACCTTCCTCCCGCACGTAGCACAAATGGTGCCCACAGGAAGGGGTGCTTCCCACAGGTGCACCCTTCCCACACACACACACTTGCCCCCTTCTGCGCACTCAGGTTCTGAGGATAAGGGTAGCATGGAGCTCGCGATCCTTGTGGGCACCGGGGTCATCGCTGTCTTCTTCTGGTTCCTCCTCCTCCTCATCTTCTGTAACATAAGGAGGGTGAGTGCTCCTCAGCCGGCTGCCTCTCCCCAGCTCCTGGCGAGGCGGGGGGGAAGGAGGTAAACTCTCTCCACTCAGCCCCTAAGATAAGAAATAAGGTCCGCCCTGTCTCCCAGGAAGCCTCTCTGACGCCTCTTTGCTGGGTCCTTACCAGACCAGAGAATTTCTCTCTCCCTGTCCCCTCCATGATTGAGAGTCCCCAGGGAGACCTCACCTATCCTGGGCAAAGTTTTAACCAAGCCTGTGGTGATGTAAACCAAATCCGTGAGCTGCCCCACCCCCGCCCCCCAGCCCGCCCACGCAGACATCAAGACCGGCTACCTGTCCATCATCATGGACCCGGGGGAGGTACCCCTGGAGGAGCAGTGTGAATACCTGTCCTACGATGCCAGCCGGTGGGAGTTCCCGCGGGAGAGGCTGCACCTCGGTGAGGCCACACCCAGCCTGCCCCCCTCCCCTCTGCTGCTGGGCCAGCAGGCTGGATCCTCGCAATGCCTGCATTCTCAGAACCTGCGCCAGAATGCCCCGCCTGGCCTGACCTGTCTATCTGGGCACGCATCCCCAGGACAGCCGGGGCACCCAGTTCCCAGGCCCTGAGGTCACTTCCTGCTGCTCTGAGCGGGGTGGGCCCGTCACACCTGCTGGGAGAGGATGCAGCCCTTCCTGTCTGCCTCTCCTCTCCCTCCCTTCCCGCGCCGCTCCTCGTGCTCTTCCTGTTTGGCAGGGGGCTCCCGACTTTCCTCCCCATCTTGGGCCTGCCTTCCTGGGCCTGCCTTCCTGGCCCTCCCAAGGGGTCCACCCTCACCCTCATACAGCTCACCTGGAACCGGCTCCCTGCCCCCACAGGGAGAGTTCTCGGCCACGGGGCCTTTGGGAAGGTGGTGGAAGCCTCAGCTTTTGGAATCAACAAGGGCAGCAGCTGTGACACTGTGGCTGTGAAAATGCTGAAAGGTGTGGAGTCGGTGGGTGGAGGCGGTGGTGAGGAGCAGCAGCCCTGGGTGGGCTGGTGTGCAAAGGGAAACCGAGGTGCTGGAGGCCCTGTGCCCTCACCAGCAGTAGCAGTGGCGGTGCCTTAGCTAAGAAGGTGGCTGGGGAGGAAGGACACGCACGGGTTGGGGCCCAGGCGACGGGCCAGCACCAAACGAAGTCCCCGGTGTTCCCTCCAGAGGGCGCCACTGCCAGCGAGCATCGCGCCCTGATGTCGGAGCTCAAAATCCTAATCCACATCGGTAACCACCTCAACGTGGTCAACCTTCTCGGGGCGTGCACCAAGCCCAGCGGTACGCAGTCTGGGGCGGGCGAACAGGCTCTCCGGGTGGGAGGGGCCTTCTGAGCTTGGACCGCATGCGGGCGGGGCGTTGCTGCGGGGATTGCGCGGCAGTGTGCCCTAGGTCACCAAGCGCTCGTCTCCTGCCCTGTCCTGCCCCAGGCCCTCTCATGGTGATCGTGGAGTTCTGCAAGTACGGCAATCTCTCCAACTTCCTGCGCGCCAAAAGGGAGACCTTCAACCCCTATGCGGTAGGTGGGCGCCCTGTCAAGGGCTGTAGCTCCGCAGTGAGCCAGTGGGGTGCCAAGGTGGGCTGGGGTTGAGGGGATTCCCTCTTCAGTGGGTGGCAGCGACCCGTGGGACCCGCTTTGTGCCTCGGCAGGAGAAATCCCCAGAGCAGCGAAGGCGCTTCCGGGCCATGGTGGAGGGCTCCAGGGCTGACCACAGGAGGAGGGGGAGTGGTGACAGGGCCCTCCTCTCCAGGCTCCTGATGGTCAAAGGTGCGACTGGATGGAACCCTCCAGTCCAAGAAGGTAAGGGCTGGGCCTCCCCTTGCCTAAGATGTCTAGCTGGAAGGATGATGCCTCATGATCAGGGGGCTGTGGGACAAGCTGGTCTCTGGCCCTCCTGGAGGGGCTTACCCCCTCCACACAGGGGCTTACATGGGAGAGCAAGTGATGGGCTCTGTCTTAGGAAGGAAGGACACCTCAGGGACATTTTTCACAGAGACTTGATAGTTGATTTGGACATCACTGGATGAATAGGAGTTTGCCCTCCAGACGGTAGAGAGCAGACAGGCAATTGCATGTGCAAAGGTCCAGGGGTACAACAGTATTCACTGCTGTGGGAGTCATTAGTGGGTGTTGCAGACAGGATGGAGGTTGAGGGGCAGAAGAAGGGTCCCGAATACTTGTTAGCTAGTGCCAAGGGCCTTGGGGGCCCGGCCAGGAGGGATGCAGCCAGGGTCGAAGGAACAACAATCACTTTGGGGTGGTTGGAAGATGAGTCATGGATGGGGCCTTTCCTGAGCCCATCCTGCTTCTTCATGCAGCCGAGGACCTGTGGCTGAGTCCACTGACCTTGGAAGACCTTGTCTGCTACAGCTTCCAGGTGGCCCGAGGGATGGAGTTTCTGGCCTCCCGCAAGGTGACTACCCTGGCAGGCCTTTCAGAGGGGAAGAGGGGGCAGACCCCACTTCCAAGGTGCATGTACTGTCCCAGTTCACCAGCAGCAACCCCACGGTCGAGGCACATCTCTCCTGCTTTGCAGAGGGGGACACTGAGCGCTAGCATGGAAGTAACTACCCAAGATCTCCAACTAGTCAGTAGGAGAGCTGAATGTAGAATCAGAGTCTGCTCCACCCTACAGCCTCCGATGCTGTGCCCATGGCTCCACAAGTCCTCGCCATGGGGAGTCCTGGGGACACAGAAATATGTCCCCAAGAGAGCAGGGCTCAGGTATGGTATGGCCCCAGGGGACTTTGCTGACCAACCCCTGGTACCTCCTCTGCCCCCAGTGCATCCACAGAGACCTGGCTGCTCGGAACATCTTACTGTCAGAAAGTGATGTGGTGAAGATCTGTGATTTCGGCCTGGCCCGGGACATCTACAAAGACCCGGACTACGTGCGCAAGGGCAGTGTGAGTGCAAGCCCCAGAGGGAGGCAGGGGCATGGACTCCTGTGCAGGAACAGGGACTTACCCCCATATATCCATGGAAGGTCTCAGGGCCGGTGCCTGCAGGGACCCTAGTGACCCTGCCAGGGCACCTGGGTCAGGTGAATGGAGGCAGGAGCAGATGAGCAGGGACTGCTGTGCTCTGACTGGAGCTTGTGTTCGGCCTGGGTCTCAGTCCAGTAGGTGGACCCTGACTCCCACGCCTGCCCTGTGGGGGCTGAATGTGCAGAGGTGGACGCCACATGGTGTCTGTCCTAGAGATGGACAGGCCTGGGGCAGGGGGTCACAGGGGTTCCTTGTGTATCTCAGTGGCACTCAAGCAGGCACCTGAAGGAGCAGCCAAAGCTGATTAGGGGTTTGCCTCCCAGGAGGAGGGCAGAGGAGGCAATGGGCAGGGTGGGTGCAGGCTGTGACAGGCCACCCTGCTGGCACATGGCTTTTGTCCTTCTTTTGAATGGGCAGGTATGTGGGGCACATGGAGGTGAGGCTCAGGTGTGTGTTCCAGAAGCTCCCTCTGCATCTGCTGAGGGGAGTAGGGGTGCTGGGGTGGAGGCAGAGGCCACTCAAGACGGGCCATAGCCCTCAGGACTCTCAGGCAGAGGCCATAGAAGGGAGAAAGAGAAACTATGGGGACACCCAGGAAGCACTGTGGGAGGAGGGGTCCGGAGGATGCGGGCTTCCAGTGTGGGGACCGAGTGAGCACATGAAGTGGGGACGGTGAGGGTGGCCAGGGACCCACGTCTTCCAGGGTCTGGAGGAGGGGGAGCAAGTGCTCCCCAGGAGCACCCAGGGGAAGAGAAGCCCAGAAAGAAGCCTTCAAGGGAGGCGTCCAGCACCACGGGATGGGGCAGGGGGCCCAACGAACACTCACAGGGTGGGTGTGGCCCCTGAGCCCGGGGAGAGTAGGGGTGGTGGAACTGCCTAAGGGTTTGGCCTCCTTCTTCCCTGCCCTCAACTAGTGGGGACACACTTCCCTCCACTTCCCATAGGCCCGGCTGCCCCTGAAGTGGATGGCCCCTGAGAGCATCTTTGACAAGGTGTACACCACCCAGAGCGACGTGTGGTCCTTCGGGGTGCTGCTCTGGGAGATCTTCTCCCTGGGTGAGTGCAGGCGGGGCGCAGGGAGGGGACAGGCAGGCCTGGTTCCAGGCCGCATGGTCAGCTCCTCTGCTCAGGGTCTGGGCCACCGGGGGAGGAAGCAGCTTAGGTTTCTGAGGCAGGTGGGTTGAGAGTCCCCACCTGCAGCCTCGGGCACCATCCTGGATGGAGCCCTGTCTTCACTCGGTGGCCCTGGGCTCCCCAGAACTTCCCCTCCCTGGCTGAGCCCCTTCCCCACCTCCGCTGGGCTGCCTAGAGGACACTGGGTGCTTGTCATGCAAGCCCCACATGGGCCACTGGGACCAAGATGGAGGTCCTGGGCTAGGTGCAGAGAGGCAGCGAGCACAGAGAAGCACCCAGTGGCAACCATGACAGGTCACTAACAGTAAAAGTGCAGAGCACAGGAGAACCGGGCTGTGCAAGCCAGGAAGGCAGGCTGATGGGGGACGTGCAGCAGGTGGGCCTGCCAGGACAGCCATTCTGGGCAAGGGCGCAGCCAAGCCCAGGGGCCCCGTGTCTTGGAGGCGGGCCAAGCGGGCGACAGGAGACACAGTGTGAGGTGCGACAGGGGGTCCACGAAGACCCTGCAGGCGAACCGGGGAAGACCTGGAATATGAATCCAATGGGGGCATGCAGGGAGGGCTTTGAGCTCGGGAGACAGCAGACTGGCTTCACCCTAAAAGGGCCATGCGCTGCTGTGGAATTGACCCTTAGGGGCAGAGGAAGCCCTAGAGGCCCTTAGGAGCTGCTTTTCCTGGGGTCAGGAGTGGTGAGGTCCAGGGTGTGTCTGCAGGCAGAGCCACAGGGTTTAGGGGAGGATTGGACAGACATCTCTGAAGAGGGGCCATCACTCGGCTGGCTCCACACAGCTCCCCCACCCTGGTGGTCCCGACCCTGGTGATCCTTGTGGCCGTGTTTTCATCCATTCTCCTCTCTGAACCAAATGAAGAACTAGTGTTGGGGGAGGGGGGAGCACCTTGGCCAGGCCCCCTGTGCACACCCAGGAGCAGCAGGACAAGCCCTCTGCCATGGAGGCCAGGACAGATTTGGGGGCCGGGCTGTGGGGGTCTGGGCTGAGCAGCAGGCACTTACTCCCCGGGTATCCCCACCTCCATCCCATTCCTGCCACCAGGGTCCTCCCCATATCCCGGGGTGCAGATCAATGAGGAGTTCTGCCAGAGGCTGAAAGAGGGCACCCGGATGAGGGCCCCCGAGCTGGCCACTCCCGCCATGTGAGTCCCCAGACCAGCCACGCGGGTGTTGGGGAGCCAGAGGGGCAAGCCAACATGGTGGGGCACAGGAAGGGCCGCCCACAGGTGGAGGCAGCGGGGTGGACTGTTGTGCAGGCAGAGCTGGCAAGTGGGACAAGGCGAGGCGGGGGCTAGGGTCTGCAGGCGTGGGTATGCTCAGGCCACAGCCCAGCTCCGCTTTATCTGTAGATGCCACATCATGCTGAACTGCTGGTCGGGAGACCCCAAAGAAAGGCCTGCATTCTCAGATCTGGTGGAGATCCTCGGGGACCTGCTCCAGGCGGGCGGCCGGCAGGTGAGCCCCCCTCTCTGCCCTGTCCTGCTGAAGCAACCTCTGGCCCACAGTCGGAGGCCATCGTGCAGGTGGTCAAGCCCAGGCTGGTCGTGCCGGGCCTGCAGGGAGCCCCTGTCCGAGGTAGAAGAGCAATGTGCAGCCCCAGGCCCTCTACCTGCCCTTGACTTATGTCTCCCTCCATGGTGTGCACCCGGGGGCAGGAAGCAAAGCCAGCTCAAGGCCACACAGGTACCCTAGGACCTGGAGGAGGGAGCAAGCAGCTGCTTGTGGCCTCAGCCTTAAGTGCTAGGGACAGGCATGCATGTGGAGTCCATTTCTGCCCCAAGTGAAGGGGGCATGGTGTGAGGACACCCCCACTGTCCCTCCTCCTCCATAAGCCAGCGCCTGGGAGGGCTGGGGGGAGGTCAGAAATTGGCCCAGCAGGCTCATTTAATCCCTGCTACCTCAGAGCACAGCACTTCACAGGAGCCCCTGGAGTAGGGGTGGGTGACCAGGGCCCAGTGGACTCTGAGCCAGCTGCCTCTGCCATTCCTGCAGGAGGAGGAGGCCTGCACAGCTGCCCGCAGCTCTCAGAGCTCAGAGGAGGGCAGCTTCATGCAGGCGTCCACCACTGCCCTGCACGTCGCTGAGGCTGACACAGACACTGAGGACAGCCCAGCGAGCCTGCATCGGCACAGCCTGGCCGCCAGGTCAGCTGCCCTCCCTGGGTCTGGGGTCTCCCAGTAGGGCACAAACCCCCAGGTCCCAGGGCCCCAGCTGGGGACAAGCAGTTTGGACATGGCATGTTTTACCCTCATTAGTCATCAGGTAAAAGCAAACTACAAGGTCTGCAGAGACCATCTCTCGCCAACTCAAAGCAGCAATTCTAAGTGACAGTCTGGCATCAGGGACACTCCTGGTCAGCCTGCGGGCCCCGCCAGGGCCACACACCTTGTGACTTTGCTTCTCTCTGCACCTGCTCCGTCCATCTCCACCCTCCAGCTTCCTCTCCACTCCCACCCGCAAGCCCCTGGCTGCAGTTTCCAGGGAGCCCCATCTCGGCACAGAGCCCGGGCAGGAGAGGTGGAGAGGGCTTCCGGGAGGTGTGCTGGGGTGGCCTTCCTAAGCACTCTGTTTTCTCCCTGCAGATACTATAACTGTGTGTCCTTTCCGGGGTGCCTGCCCAGGGGGACTCAGAGCCAGGGTCCCTCCAGGATGAAAACGTTTGAAGAATTTCCCATGACCCCAACAACCTACAAGGCCTCGGTGGTAAGTGGGGTGGTGGACCTGTGCGCCCCAGGTCAGGATTCTGGGCTCTCTGCAGGGGCAGGTGGTGGGAGCTCCTGAGGCAAGCAGCAGAAACCAGCTCAGGAGAGGGAGCTGACTTGAGACACTGAGTGCAGGTTGCACCCCCGGCGCGTTGGGGTCTGTGTTTCTGCCGCTGTGAGCTACTGTCATTCAGCCAGGGTTTTCCTGCTTGCTGTGCAGCCCTCTCTCCTCCAGCAGCACAGAAACCCAGTGGAAAGACAGCTCCTCTTTCTGGATGGTTCTGCTTGGACCGGCCCCTTTGGTGGTCCCCTATCACATGCCAGAGAGAAAGGGAGGGCATCCCTAGAGGAGGAGGCTGGGGTACAGGCACAGGAAGAGGGAACCTCACACACAGGTGAGCTGGAGCCAGTGTGTCCATCTTGCAAAGACAGCCTCCCAGCTCCACACAGCCTGGACCCTTCCTGTCCCACACCTGGATGGGCCTGTGCCAGAGGCACGCAGACCCAGACTCATGTCCCCATGACCAGAAGAAGGCGTTGGGACCCCCAGCTCTGATAAGACCACAGTGCCCCTCCATGTCATTGAAAATGGAAGCCATGCCAGGCCACACATGGTCTAAGGGCGGGAAAGACCACCAACCTGGGCTGTGTCTGCCTGAGGACCTTTTTCTACCCTTTGAGCTGCCAGATCCTTTTGCCACCATCCAGGTGTCACCTGGTGCTCCTGCTCTGCCTACACCTTGCAGGTCCCCCAGCATGGGGTGTCCCAGCTTTGCCACCTCCTGAGCTGGGGCCAGGCCCGCTCCCTGCCCTGCAGTCCTCAGTTCCTCTCCCTCTGTGGTGGGGGGCATGTGACCCTCTCTTGCACACTAGGTTGAGGAAACGGAAGTCCGTTTCCCATTTACATCCCACAGGACAGGGTTAGGGGTCCATGTGGCCCATCCTGCCTGAGTGGCAGAGCCCACGGGCAGGCCAGGGAGACCCACAGCCTTGGCTGGTGCTCTCACGCAGGATAACCAGACAGACAGTGGGATGGTGCTGGCCTCTGAGGAGTTCGAGCAGCTGGAGAGCAGACACAGACAAGAAGGCGGGCTCAGGTAGGGCTCCGGGAGCGCCCTACCCTGCATGCACCCTGTCACTGTCTTCCCTAGTGCCGTTCTGGGTGTTCAAGGCAGGCCACCTGGGACTTGAAGCCTTTGGCCACCAGCTCCCCAAGGAGCCCACTCCCCCATCACTGTCCTGACCTAGCAAAGCTGGTGATGGCCCCACACTCCCCTTCCAGTTGACAGATGCCCAGATGCCATCTCTTTGTGAAATCGAGCGTGAGGCACATGTCTGCACCCTGCCCCCAGCCAGTGGAGGCCTCTGCCATCCCCAGGCCCCAGCACTTAGCCCAGTGGCCCCAGGACCCACAGATCACATGACCTGGCAATGGCTGGTGTCTTGTGTTGATAGGAATACGGTTACAGAGCAGTCCTTGTGCATGCCTGTGCAGAGGATGACCTGAATAGAAGGTCACCTCTATTTGCCCTAAAAGATACTCCCCCAAAAAACCTGCATATTTAAAATTTAAAGGGTATAGATAAGAGAGCTGCATGTCTAGCTGTTCATTTGATTAGCTGACTGGCACACGGCTGTTTGAATGAAAGCTGTTAAATACGGTATTACAGAAAACATTGCTCTTTCCTGCTTTCTGCAGGCCATGGTGTTCAGACCATTTGCTTCCACCTTTCACATCCATGTCTTTGTCAGGAGCCCCTTATGGGTCATCTGACAGTTTTCCAGAGCAAATCCTGGCTCTACCCACACTGTTTTTGAACCAATATATGATGTTGTCATTGAATATTTTACCCTAGATTGTATCGTATTAATACCACGTTAGGATAGTTGAGATCATTTTCCACCTTTCTAGTAGGTGTATTTGTGACCTCTTAACCAACTCTTATTTTCCCAGCAGTTTACAAAGAACAGGTTTAGCACAGGGAATGCTGAAGGATCTCAGGTCATTTGTGCAGGCATAAATACTGCATCTGTATCTTGTCCTTCTTTTGTTTGTATTGATCCTATCAGGTGATCTCTATTAGTAACCTAGCTTTGGAAAATTAATGCTAATCAAATTGATGGAAAGAATTCATGACTAATACTCTCTTTATCAAACAGTATTTCATCTCTCAAAAAGAGTAATTCCTAAGAGGGTGAGCCAGAGGATGACAGAACTATTTAAATTCAAATCTCCACACATCTTCCTAAAAACAAGATATAGAGTAAAGCCCCTCAGAGCCCATGCCTATGCTATAGTCAGGCGGGTAATTCTGGTCTTTGTGTGAGTAGGGAACTTAGCTCTGGGACCAGCAGAGCCATGCCTGAGCCACAGTGGGAGGAGGGTAGCATGGGGACTGCCTTGTGATAGAGGAGCATGACACAGACCAGGGTGCTAATGGAGGAGAAAGAGATCCAGTGGAGCAGAGCAAGTCTCCTGAGGCAAGCCTAAGGCACGGGGGACAGTCGCCTGGGAAGGCCATGAGCAGGAAGGGAGTGTGTATCTCAGTGCTCAGTGGTGAAGGAGGAAGAAAGTTGCAGAAGATCTATGGAGGCAAGATTGTATCAAGAATCCAGAAGACAGATACACAGCCAAGGGAACCAGAAGCTGTACCTCACAATGACAGCAACAGAGGGCACTATTCTGTGCAAGGTCCCTTGGAAACACATCATGGTGAGCCACAGAGCATGGCACTGGGCAGGTGCATGCACTTGACATACGGAGCATTCTCCAAACAGGTGCAAAGACAGAATGTGCCTTGGAGGAGTCTATGGAGGGAAAGGAGGAGGGAGTTTATCTGCCCAGCCCTTTCCTGTTTCCTGTTAACCACTGGGCCACATGCACACCACAGAGAGTTAACTCACCCTCACTTGCAGGTTGCTCACTGGCCTTTCAGTGGGATCCAGCATCAACACCCAGTAGTTTGTAGGTAAAAGAAAGATCTGGAGACTCCAGGCATGTGGTAGGTTGGCATGGCTGCATGGCAGTAGCCATGAAGGGGCCCACACTTCTGGCTGAGTGACTGGTTGGTCTCTGGTGATGATTCAATAGGGGACATGAATGAAGACTTTGGAAAGAAGGATGCAATTGAAGGAATTCAAGGTGAAACCAAAGATGTTGGGCTGATCCAGCCCTCCTCAGTGAAGAACCCTAGAAAGCCACTCACATCCCTAGCCTCTTGAATAGGGTAACCTGCTATTTCTGGTCTAGGAAATCCCAGAATGAATGATCATGAACAGGAAAAAGTACACACTATTTATACAGAGTTATTACAAGAATAAAGAAAATTAGAATGAAAACTTCTCAGTAGATATAAACACAGAGAAACAAATTAAGCAGAGAAAAACTGATACAACACTCCAACATGAATTAGGTGTACAATTAGACAACGAGCTGTACCATGACTGAGAAGTTGGAACTCAGGATGGAAATGGACAGTGTGAAGATATCAAATGGGAGCTGATTAAATCCAGGAAAGAAATGGAAATAAAAGGCACCTTCTCTCAAAAATTTAGACCAGTGTGCCCAAGGAGCAGTAGATATGGTCAGACTTATGTAGAGAACACAGAAGGTGGACATGAAAAGAGTTGAGAAAATATCAAAGAGGTATGAAGGGACAGAAAGAAAGTGATAAATGTTGAAGTTGAGTAGAAAAGATCCAACATATGTACAATTGGAGTCTCTGAGGAAGAACATGCTGTCAGTGGAAAGGAACTAACATTTCAAACTTGTTATTCAAGATAACCCTCTTAAATAAAAGAAGACCTGAACTGGCATATTGGAAGGGAGCCTGGGAAAACTGGCCCAAAACAGTAAACTCTGAGACATATCCCAGTCAGACTATGACTTAAAAGGTACACATTTAGGGAATTCAAGAAAAAAGACCAAGCGACTTGCAAAGAAAAGAGGAGATTGACATCAGGTTTCTCAGTAGCACCATGCGAAGCAAGAGCAACAAAGCCACATTTTTCAACAATTTCAAAGGCAGTGGGAGTCTAATGGGGAGCAGGCTGAGGCCATCAGGAAGGCAGATGGGTCTGGGCTCTCATTCCAAGAGGGTTGGGAAGGCACTGGAGGGTCTGTCAGGTGCAGAAGGACATCATCTAACTTTAAGGACCTCTGAAGAGTGGCTACAGGGAGGACAAGTGGGAGGAGGGACATGCTAGAACAGTGCAGAGCGCAGCGTGATGGCAGGAGGGCCAGGACATGGAGAGGCCAGGGCGCACTTTGGAGTTTGAACAGACAGGACTTCTGATGGATTGGATGTGAGGAGTGAGGAAAGGGAGGAAGCAAAGGTGACCCTCAGGGGCCTGAGCCATGGCATCCATGGTGGTACCATTTATGGGGATGGACAGTTTAGGGGATGGAGCTGGCATTCTGCGGTGTCCATGCCCAGGCTTGTATCAGAGAAGGCTCCAGTTTTTGCCAAGTCAGATCAGTCTGCTTTGCTGTTTAAGTTTAGTCTGGGTGTGTTTCTGTTGGCTTTGCACCTGCTTAACTTAATGCCTCAGTTGTGTCTTTGATGATTCTGATCAGACCCCAACCTGGGTCTGGTCCCTCTTCTTCTGTCACACCACCTGCCCTGTCTCAGCAGCTGTAAAGGACCTGACCAGAATGTGGATGTGACCAGGGCCCACCCCAACTCCCAAGGACGGCAGCGGCAGCCGGACCCGGGCGCACAGGGAGGCCAGGTGTTCTACAACAGCGAGTATGGGGAGCTGGCAGGGCCACACAAGGAAGGCGACAGCGCCCCATCCACCCGTGCACCCTTCCTCACAGATGACAGTTACTGAGGCAGCCCCAGGCAGGGCCCCCACAACCCTGGGCTCTGACATCTATTGGGGGCCATGCCTGGTGGGGTTAGCAGAGGGCTGGAGGTGGGCTGGGAACTCCTCTCCTTTAGGAGTTTCCTCCTCCCTACCTAGAAGAGCAAACCCCAGGCTCCAGGGCACCCTCAGCCTCTATCACAATGCCTGCCCAGGGCCCTACAGACCTGGGTCCTTCTCCAGATTCAGATTCCATTCAGCTCACTATTCACAGGGGGCAGCCCTGAGCTGGGCACTCCTGTGGGGAATGTCTCTTTGACTGCCTACCCCCACAGAGGGTGGGGATGTGATCCCCATGTTCTGAGGAAGGAGTATGAGGGTCTGAGGGTCACACAATGATCATTTAGTTGTGGTCTCCTAGCCTCTGTGCCAAATGATGCCCCCTCTGTGTAGCCCTCCCTTCTGGTGGGGAACAGCTTTCTTCACCTGCCTCTCCAAGACTGAAGAGGGGGCACCAGATTTCCATCTCAAAGCAACAAAGGAGCAATTGGTGGGGGGCCTCCCTGGAGCCGGGCAAGCAACTGACCACCTTAGGGGCAGCTGCCCTGCAGCACCGAGCCAGTTACAGCCACTTTCCCCTGATTGCCTAGAACTATTCAACAGATATTTTTTTCATTAGAGCTTCAGAGACTATGTGAGCTGCTGTGAAGAATTTACTTTTCAAAACTTTGGTCTGAAGGGAGTCCAGGGATGGGCTTTCTGAATCTAGATGACTTGCCTCTGATCCAAACGGGATGCCATAGCTGAAGCCACCGTGAACACCTCTTCTGCGGCAGTCCCCAGCCCCACCTGCAGGGACCAGGACTGGGAGAATCAGAGATGCCCCATGTGAGAAATGCTTGTTCTTCCCTCAGGGGCCTGGATCTGCCCCCACAGCCACTGCTCAAGTCAGAATGGCTCTGTGAGATGTGAGCACCGTGGGCTACCCTGAGGAAGGCTTGAGTTGGCCCAGAGGACCCACCAGCATTGCTCTGTGCCAGGCTGCAGTCAGCATTCCTGTGGCTCTGGGGGGCCTCTGCCCTCCCACGGGAGTGACCAAGAGCCCTCTGGGGGCTGGAGTTGTTCTGCCCAAGCCACACGGCAACCCAGCTCCGTTGCCCAGTCACACCCCACCTGGGCAGGAGAGGGACCCTCTTCCAGTTATCGCCACGGACACTGACGCCCACCCCCACCCATGAGATGCTTGCGGGACAGGCGGCCGTGCAGCCAGCAGGACTTGCCCGGCAGACCCCCTCCCACCCACTGTGTGTCAGTCCTTTAGGACACATCAAGTGCACATGTGACTTATATCCTCATCATACCCAGGGGACTTCGTCCTCTGATGTCACCTGACTGGGAGACTGAGGTCTCAGGTTTACCTGGTGGGCGTTCAGAGGCTGTTCCCAATCAGAGGAGCGACCTGCGTGATGCAGGTGCAGGCTGGGCCCACTGGCCCCTCCCACGTGCCTGCCACCTTTTGGTGTCACTCTCTCGTCACATAACTGTGCACATAAAAATGTACCGGGAAAAAAGCCTGCCACACCCTTGTACACCAAGTGCCACATCATGTTAAAATATTTAACGGAAGATAATAATAAATTCAGTGCCAGTGTTTGAGTTACAGTGAATGGGCCATCAGTAAAACCCCAGCTTTCTGTGCAGGTTTGACTCCAGCGGGCCTCCCACTCAACCCTCGGCCCCACCAGGCCCTGGGACCTTTCTCACGGAGGAAAGGGCAGCGTGGAGCTCAGCCCCACCCTCCTCTCCAGGGGGCTGCAGAGACCCCCAAGGCAGAGGGTGCTGAAGCCCCGGGACCCCTGGCTCCTTTGCCGACCGCTTCATAGATAAAGTGACATGCACTTGTCCCCACCTACAAAGGCCAAACACTCAGGTTGAGCCCGGTGGCCATGGGCCTGGAAGCTCTGTGAGTTCCTGCCATCAGCCCCACAAGGCTCACCACACTGATGGGTGCCTCCGATCACCCCCATCACCAGGGGGTGGCCCCGAGGGGTGCAGCATGCCCAGGGTCACCTGGTTGAGTGTGTGCCCAGATCCCGGGGTCAGGGAGGTCTGAGCTGGGACCCCAGCTTCACTGCCTGCTCAGGGATATGTGCTCCGCCAGGAGAGCAGGCCAGCCTCCACAGCCCTGCCCTGCAATATGTGTGCAATTGCCCTTCAAGTGAACGGCCGGCAGAGAAGGCTGCAGACTGGAGTGTGACTGGCCATTTGGATGCGGCCTTAGCAGGCTCCCTGGGAGGGGCCCAGGAGAAGTGAGCAATGACCCCCAGGCCCAGGCACATGTGGGCCAGGCAGGGCTGTGCACACAGTCCAGGGAGCAGATGGGAGCCCAGCAAAGGTCAGCAGCCACCCCATCCTGGCCTCCTCCTGGGGAGCCTGCTGGGTGTCAACTCCCCATGCCCCTCCCCCAGGCTGTGATGCCAGCTGCCCCACCTCCTCACAGCTCCTGAGAGGAGACCTTCCACAGAAACAGCTGGTGGTGGTGGGATTGTGGCTCCTCCTTCCATAATCTAAATGTGAATACAGGGAAGACCATCTCCCCAGCTAGGTGTGGGTGTTTAACTACTATGTTGTTGGCTGAATTTAGCCATTTTCCCTGCATGAATGCCTCAACCCAGGTGTGGGCCACCAGGGGGTGCCTGCTGGGTTATCCAGGCAAGTGTACCCACCTGTGGAGGGACCTGGCACCCCACTGTGAAAGTCCCAGGTGGGGCCACACTCACAATTCCGGGTTCCTGTGTTCCCACCTGGGCTGGGCCCTCAGGGCCACGCTCAGGCCCCAGTCCCGCCCTCACTCCCCAGACCACAGGGGCCCCAGGTATGACTGGGAATGGGCCAGCAAGGGGAATGTGGGGGTGTCCCGCCAGGCCACAGTGTGTCCACCTTGGGCTCCTTCGGCCTCTTCCACTTCCCAGGAGCCTTCTCTCTTCTCCTCTCAGGTCCCAGCCCCTCATGGGGTGCCCCCCTGCCCCACATCCCACCTCCCCTCCTCCCCAGCCCCACCCTCCTGTTCCTTTCTGCCATGGGGTCGTGAGTCACCTCCTTTAGGAGACATCAGGCCAAGAGCATGCTCTGGTGTCCCTTAATGGCATTGGTTCTGTCCAGATGTCACCACTGCCCCTCGGCATGCCACGCTACAGGTCAAGGATCCACACATACCCAGGAGGCAGCCTTCCGGGCCCTGCTCTGAGCCACTCATGGTCTGAGGCCCTAGGATACAGCAGAGTCCCCATTCCCACAGAGCTCACAGGCCAGTCCCTGCAGTAAGGAGTGACACGTGCGCGGAGCTCCACACCAGAGGAACATTGGCAGCAAAGACCCTGGGTCAGAAGGAAGAGTGAGCCAGGAAGCAGTGCGGAGGAGAGGTCAGCAGAGGCCATCCTGCAGGGCCTGGGAGCCCACAAACTGTAGTTGGCTTTAAGTCCAGAGGGAAGTTTTGAGAAAGGGTTGATGTGCTCTGACTTAATTTATGCTATGAGAGACATGCATCTCAAAGGAGCAGAGTGGGTTCCCCAGAGCTGGGTGGGGCCTTGGGGGCAGGTTGGCTGCACTCGGGCTGGGGTGCCGGGGCTCTGGAAGGCCAGAGACTCAGGAGAAGAAGAGGAACTCAGCCATGAGTTGGGTCCCTATCCAGGCTGGATGTGTGGAAAATGCTTTTCCTAAGCAGGCTTCTGCAGATGCTGGCCATGCACCCCGCCTCACCCACATCGCTTAAGGCCCAGGGGAAGACTCAGGAGACAAGGGCAGGAGGGGGATGCAGGGCCTGACCCACACCCAGGGGTCTTCCTGGTTTCCTCGGCTCCGCAGAGACCCCCAGAGGGGAAAGGCCAGGACTCCAGCCCTATCAGCACCCTCATACCAAAAGGGGCTCTGGCCTTGATGCTCAGCATGGTGGTGGAAGCCTGGGAAACGGCTTCCAGCCCCAAACTGGCCCTCTGAACCCTGTGGTGTGCCTGCACCAGGTCCCAGCAAGTCCACACCGACTTGTGAGGTCAGGCACTCAGCCCAGCCCAGATTATCAGCCACAGGGCATGTCCAAAGCCCTGGCCAGTGCCCACAGCACAGGCTCTTCCCCACCAGATGTCTACATGCAGGTTTGGAGAGAGGACGGCAGCATCAGTGGGAGGGAGGCCTGCCTTGGGACCAGAATGAGGCTGTGCTGCCCTGGGCTGTCAGGCAGAGAGCCTGGGCCGCATTCGCTTCTGGGGGCTGCTCAGGGCTGAGAGTGGAGGATTTGGCACCCTGAGGCTGGGTGACCCTGGGTCAGGCACTGCCCCTTAGGGCTTCAGTGCTCATCTGTGATTTGCCAAGCTTTGGTGATGAGGTAACAGTTGAAATACTCCTGGGAGTGACCACACTGAGGAGAAAACTCTGCCCCTACCAAGCCATGTCCTCAAAAGCAACATTAAAAGTCAACTGGGAAAGACACTGTCTCTGACCTCTTCCTTCCATTGACTCATCCACCTACAAATCCCCCAGATAACCTACTGCCTCACCCACCCATCCATCTATCCATCCACACATCCATATGTCCATCCATTCATCCACCCATCCATCCGTCCATCCATCCATCCATCCACACATCCATCTGTCCATCCATCCATCCATCCATCCATCCATCCATCCATCCATCCTCCCTCCCCATTCATCCATCCATCCATCCATCCATCCACACATCCAGCCAGCCAGCCAGCCACCCATCCATCCATCCATCCATCCATTCACCCATCAATACATCCATCCATCCTCCCTCGCCATCCATCCATCCATCCATCCATCCATCCATCCA